AACTAACCCCTATATGTACTACAATTAAATATGGCGAATTACAATTTCCTATTTTAACTATGAAAAAATTCGAAATTTCTAAGTGGTGAATATGTAAAAGAAATAAAATTTGAAGAATATAAGTAAAATGCCACGTAACTTGCAAGTAATATCGTATTATGGTCTTTAAATACTAAGCAAAAAAGGAGCGATGATGCGAATGTTTTATATCTACTGTACGAGTTCTACGCCTGCACTTCACGCACGCGCGTTAAATACTTCTCTAAAGGAAGAAAAGATGGAAGCAGTCAGATGCATTCCTGGACGATGAATCACATATATCCTAAAAATTAGCAGGCTGTCAGTGAACAACGATACATTGTCATCGTTATACCAACTATAGAACGATACCGAAGGTCGAAAAAATACCTCTTTCTTCGTGGTGGCCTTTCACAAGAGTCGCACATATACAGGGTGTCCCAGGAACGGTAGTACAACCGCGACGGGGTGATTCTACGTGAAAAAACAAATCGAAAATGCAGAATAAAATTTTTTCATTCGAAGTTTCGTTATCGAGAAGATCGATGTTGAATATTCATTGAATACGCGTGCACTTTGGTTAAGGCAGATGGACCATCAGTATACCAGCGATACTGGGGCACCCTGTATAATTCATAATCTATAAACCTTGCGAACGAAAATTTTTATAGAACTGTCAATTACACGTCATATTCTCCGTATATTAATAACAACTATGAAGCTACGATGTCTGAATCATGATTAATCTGTTTAGGGTTAATGAAAAAATAGCCTTGAAAATGTCTGAAATAAATAAAAAACAATTTTAGATACGAATAAAATCATTAAGAAATATATTCGAAACATACTGAAAATATATTGAAATTTCTGTAAAATATGTTGTAAAAGATACCTTTTTATAAAACCAGAATAACTTTATGAAAATTTTCTTCACAAAATTTAGGTGTAATTTTGATATGTATAACAAGCAATGTATGATGGTTTGGATGCCTCGAAAATTTTAGTTCCATCATATTGCACTCTTATAACACCTGTGGTAAAAATAAAGACACTAAGAGCACTTTGGAAGATGTAGTTAAAAATATCCCTTTAGAATTTATTTAAGCGAAATACCTATTGTCCACTGAAATAATTCGAGCGCGAATAACAAGTATCGTCGACCTTCAGTATTAACAAATTTACCAATCGACCGTCGCACTGTGAGGCCGATGCACCAAAAGGCTGTAAAAGGGCAATTTAAAAAACTTTGATATAAGAAAAAATTTTTTACCAATAGTTAATCAGGAGTATGGAGAATGATATAGTACCCTCTTTTCAAATATTCGTCCATTTTTAACATCCCTACACAATTTTAAAAAAGTCGAGTTCCAAATTACGTGAAACCAAATCCACTCTTCTATATATATATTTCATTATAATTGAACGATGAATGATACAATGAAATTTACCTAGTACCTAACCTAACCTAACCCTTAAATTGAACAAAATTTAAAATTATTTTTTGTAATACTGTTTTAATTATACCGATTTGAATGTTTTTAATTTTCATCATACCTTTTTGTTATCCATTTAGCACCATTTATCGTTCATTCTTACGACATCTTAAAATTCGAAGTCTCCTCTTTATTTTGCAAAAAGAATTAGCTATAACTAGCTGCAACTCCGAAAGATATGTAAATAAATAGATGCTCTGGCACCGGCCGGACTGCAAGTAAGTTAAATATATTTGAAATTTATAAAATAAAAAAATAAAATATATATATGTGATATCAGTTGAAAAAATGTTTTTTGCCGCATGTAGCTGCATTAGCTCTACTATGTGTCGTTAAACTCATTGATTTGAAATACACTTGAAGTATTACCTCATCATCAGAGAAAAGAGATCAATTGTATGTGTAGGAAAATCGTCGTTCAAATGGAAAATTCCCAGATTTCGAAATCCTTCATTCTGTGTCTCGCGTATAACCTAACACGGGATGATACAGCTTTTGGAATTTTTTGTCAATTAGTCAGACACACATCGTGAGGAACGAAAAACAAAATCTTAGAAATGACATTTGTCCTTGTAAAAATTCCATTCGATAGAACTAATCCTCTCACAAAAAAGGAATGTAGAGAATTGAGGAAAATTTAACCAATAGAATCCCTCCTTTTGGTAGTTTAATCATTATTCGGATTCCCATCTGAATAAAGGTAAATAAAAGGTCGTGCAACGTATTAAAAATATCGCAGGCACACTAGACGTTTCACTCTCCTCTCCCTCCCAGAACGACATTTCTTCTGCGCATGCCTCTGACTCATGGCGTCGTGCTTCGTCGACACAGTAATATTAGAACGTGCTACGAGAGTCGACTTGTTTGTTTCTCGGGTCATTCTTCCGTCCTGTCTCTCAGTCACGAGTTTCCCTTCTTTTATACAAAACAGACGGATTAATTGCAACTGTAAGGAAAAGAATTGACGTGGATGAAGGAAACAAAAGGAAGCATAAGCTGAAGTGAAAGTCTGTCGTATAAAATTACTGCGGTTAAAACGAGTAAACAACCAGATTCGAGGTGCTTCTTAAAGAGCTGAATGCTTTATTTAAGAAAGCTCGAGTAGAGAAATATTGCAAGCTAATTATTGTGATGTATTTTTCGTTTTTTGTTTTCAGTTCTATTTGAGAAACGTTTTAAACGACGAATAATCCAAAACTGTCGAATGAATCATTCCCAATGTGTAATTTCGTTTATGTCATCTGGTTTCCTGGTTATCTCTTGAACTTTCCATGTTGAATATTTAAATGGAACGTTTTAAAAATTCAAATAAACATGAATTCAAAATTCAATAATAACTTAATGCTATTTTAACCAGCTATTTGTATTCGTAACAGTTATAAATTATAATAACATAAATAAGACTTTTTCCACTGAGAAAGCTATCTAATGTTTCACATATTAGGTACACAGATTTGTTACAAAGATGTATTAAAAAGGAAAAATATATAAAATAATACAATCGATTATACTGGATCTAGTGAAAAGGACACATTGCTGAAATTTATTTTCGTACCTTGTCATTTAAAATGTACAATCGAGTTACGACATAGATTTATTTTTAAGAGCATTTCTGAGAATCTTAATATAGCTCCACAAGAATGTCGGAAGACAATAACCTGCTTTGTCAGCCAACCGTTCCAACTAGAAGCGATAAAAAAGGGAAAACAAAAGACAATGGTATCACGAACATATGGAAGACAATGGTAACATTCAGATCTCGTTCAAGCTGACTAAATAAAGATTTAAACTGGCAACCGTATTAAGAAATGACACAAAACTCGTTCCAAATATTTCGAATTGAATAAAGTACGAATATAACTTGTATTATTGAATTCTCGATGCTACCCACGTATTAGCCACTAAATTATTACTCGTCTTGGCTATATTATATTGTACTGACGTATTACAATTCCTTTTATATTTCATAATTAATATTTTATTTAATTCGTCTCTGTTTGAACTCTTCATATATTCTATATATTGTCTGACCTTTGTCTTAAAGGAGAACAAGAGGTGTGAAACAACAATATAGATAACTTTATTGATCTTAGAACAATTTCAAGAGATAATAGACTTTATAAAGGTTGTCATTTCTTCCTTAATTTAAAAGACACTTTTAGTCTGATCATCAGTCAAATGATATTCTATAGAACATGACCGCGAAATCTGAAAAATTATAAATTAATATAAAAAGGAATCAACTTAACATAATTTGAAAGCAACATAAATGTACATACACGTGATTCATCGTCTAACCACTAATTTGAAAAGAATGAGGTCTCCCTCGTATAAACAGAACGAAAGCTAATATATTCAAGAGAAAGCATGTAACACGTTACACCGAAGAAAAACGTTCTTGACTCGTAACTCATAGTTATTTCAGTAATTAAAACGTAAGTGTTAGACACGTATACAAACCTAACCTAGATTTGCATTGTCTTATCTATCACAGAGGTAATTCGTGTCAGTACATAATATCTTTGGAAAGTGGCCTTGAATGTGCAAAAAATACAACCTCACCATGGGTATTTACAGAATCTGTTTTCCAACATAGCAATTATAACCTATTTTCTGACGGAACTATTTTCAACTTGTCCGAATTTCAATGAGCCGTCCTTGTCACACATTTAACAGAAATTTATACCAGAGTAATAGCAATAATTAACAAAGTTACAATTATATTCAATCGATAAGTATATTACTATATTTTTTACTTAATCTTAATTATAATTTCATTTAATTTATGTGGAGTTAATCATTTATTTAATAATTTCTCAAATGATATTCGGAATCATTTTGTTTAAAGAGTTTTTTACAAGTAATTTTTTTAATGAAATGATGAAATATATAATCGAGGTAAGTAGACAGACTTAATGATTCTACATCGAGATAGACCACAAATTTTATCTAAATACGATAAAATATAATTGTATATTTATACATGTACTTTCATACGTATTAAGATATCACCTACGAGAGAGAATCTGTTTCAAAAACCGGAATCTCCCTTATCATATCTACTTAATATGCGAGGAAAGTCACGATTGATTAGACCTGACAGAGTGAAATTACAAAACCAATGCAACCAACTAGTTAAGCTACAACTTGATCATAAATATTCATGCATCAACATACATCAACATGTATAGAAAAGATCAAAGTGTGCGTCTAGGAACTTTAGTCGAGTGATTTAAACAATAATAAATCATTCCATAATATGAACATAATACCACTGAAAGTCGTGTCATGGTGGATGCATTATAAAGTCTATATTGTAGTAGTTTGTAGCGACACAACGAAACTGTAAAAAAAAAAGAAACAAAATAAAGTACACGAATATCGATCAAATTTGAGATAGTAAAAATAGAAATAACGTAATTCTGTGATACTAAAATAAAAGAATAACGATTAACGTTACAAACTTGGGAGAGGAAAACGTATATCTACCTGCATATTTTTGGTGACAGTAACATCAATATGGCCGCTGCTATTTTTCCACATGCAATCTGAACTGGATACCTCTGAATATCTTATTCGCGGTAAAACGAGCTGGATTGTACGTTTCCCGTTCTACAATCGTGATTGTGGTTTCACCGGGATTACCAGCAGAGCGACGATCGGTCAAGAGGTCTTTATGAAATTGAGACCCCGAGCGGAGTACAAATTGATGTCAGCCTTGAATCATAAGAATTGAAGTTATGTAATATCTTACATACTGTACAAGAAACTGACGTAAAGCGCACTAATTTGACAGGTTTATTGCGTTGCGTAATATCTGCACGCGTATCAAAGCATTCGTTTACGGTATATTAACACTACATCGTTGAAGTATCTGAATACCAGTATTATACCCAAAGATCATATTAATCACTCCTCTTAAACTAAATTCGACTACAACTCTTAAAATCACTACGGCGTTTCGAAGGTTATGTACGTTTTAAATCTCATAGATGTTATTTATTGTAAACTCATTCTTATTCAATAATAATCTAAAAAAACAATATTTTCTCAAAGACTTAATACGAACTTATTTATATTTTGATTTTGTCGAATTCGAAAGCTTGTCCGTTTTTCTTGATACATTCCACTATTAAATTACCAGCGTCTGTGCGATTGACGCGAGACGGATTGCCCAACCTGAGATTTCAATAAATTGCGACTGCGTGGTGGGGTGGCACGATCGTTGCATATGGTCGATTCGCGCGGGAAAAAAAGGCGGGAGGAGACAGAAAATCTATGATATCTACTGTTCACATTATCATAATATTGCAACTTAAATTATGGCATTTTGTTCGAAAAATTCAATGAAATATTTCGAGTTATATTTAAATAATTATTAAGATTTATATTATTTTTAGAAATTATACAACATGTGCGCGCGCATGAGACGTAAACAGAATACTTTGATCATATTTCGTAGATTATAAATATTCAATTCGATAGCCGATTTTCCAAGCTTTTACCATAATTACTAATTCATGCAAATTATATGTTATTATTTCTCGTTCTACAAGAAAACACACTGCACAAACAGGTAAATAGTTTATCTACATTTATCTTAAAATACTTTAAATATAATAAATATTCCCGTAGAAATCAAGCCATATTGACAAAGGGAAAGATATTTCAAATTTATTGTCGTACGTTATGATCACTACAAAACAGGAATTTTCTTTTGGAAAAATTACAAATGTCGTGATAGGAGTAACTCACGATAGGAGTAAGTAAACGAATAATTAATACATATTCTAAGTCACCAGGTATGCCAAGTTCTTATCCATCAATTTGTATGTTAATTGTTTATCCAAATAGAAAGAAGGTCCTTGAAATTACTAAGCCATAAATCACAAAAAGCTGTTCACTAGAATCGCCACAGTCATCAAGATTCTACTGAAACATGTACTGGTTGACTTCCTCATTCCATTATGAAGTTTCTGACGTTTAAGCTGTACTCACGTTGAAGTTGTCGAGGTAAACAACCATCGATAAGAGAATTCTAAGGAAATGTCATCAATCTTACTCCAACACCAACGAAGTACTCGACGAAGGCAAACAAACGTACAAAGATACCACCGAATAAATCATTATACTATTTTGTAATTCTTAACGACGAGGTAAGAGAATTAAAGCATGGTGTGAACTTGAAGACGAAAATGGATCGATTAATCGAAATAGCACGGTGACTGGTTTTTATGTTATTACCATTTTTGCAATGTCAGTTTTGGCTAGTACGTCATGCTGTCCATGCTCGTGAATCGAGGCACGTACAGAAATTGCAAACAAAGAACGATTACTGAGATAAAATAACAAATGGAAATTTATAGTCTACTAAAGCGTATCTCTCTGATTATTTCATTGGGACTTTTGATGGACTACGAATTATGTTCTTGCTTGCAGTTGTTGATGGGCTGCTTTCACAAATTTTCCGCTAGAGTTAGACAATCAGAGTGAGAAGACCTACATTAGACATAACGATAACCTAAATTGGTATGTGTGATATTTACTGAATTATTATCTGTCAAGACAATAAAGACAGATGATGGAAACTCGAGATATATTCCACAGATCGTAACACTTTTAAGTTATATGGTAATTTATTGTATTTTGATTGAACACTTTCTTCGACCTAGAAATACTTGAAAACTCGTGCAATCTCCACATCAAATTTTATAAATATGTTTTATGATTAACGAGCTCTGAGGAAAAATGGCACAAACAGTAGAATCTCTAATTCTAGAAAGTTATGGGTAAAGTTAAACTTTAATAGAAAAATCTACATACTTTTATGCTTCAAAAATATTAGTTGACATTCTCATGTATCTTAGGTACCTTACAGATTGTTTGCTGTATTTATCTGATTTTTGAAAAGGAAGGAGATGCATTTTGTGATCTTTCTCTTAATTTCGTTTTATATTTCAAATTTCAATTTAAGTTTTCTCTTTACATGCATATTATCATGCATGTTCACGCTGATTACGCATTCTTAAAAGAACAAAGCATATGAAATCAATCAAGTCATTCTTTAGTTCTATCCAATTGTAAGGTCTCAAGGAACTTTTCATGGCTATATCGACTCATGCAGTTTGATTGTCTTGCATATATGTACGAGATAGTACATCTATTAAGTATATCCCAGTGGTCTTTTTTTGATACCAGCCAATTTGTGGTATGCAAAGCAGTTACGATTATATGGTGTTAATTACCTGAAAACAATTAAACCCGATAAAAACACATTTGTTTTTCTAACATCTATACTTATGATTAGAAGCAGGAGGATGTACTTATAATTAAACTGGAAGGATATAATTGAGACGTCACTAATGATGAAAAACACAAAGGCAAAGTTGCGTTTGAATTAAATTAATAACTGAAAATGCTTGACGCAACAAGTGTAGTGATGCAAATGCAATGAGTCAGACGTTTTGTAATCCCTGCTATTGTTAATTTTTGTATAATTTATTTTTTGTTACAAGCATGCTTCGTTGAACAGCAAGTGTGGTTGGAAAGAAGGAAATAAATTGTAAATACACGATGAATTGCAAATATCTATATACATAATTGATGTGAGAATTCGGACACACAATAGGCTATAATCATCGAACTCACATATTTTACTATTAAATTTATGCTTGCTGCAATTACCAACTTCTATTAATACAACTGTAACGGGAGCAGAAGATAATTTAAATTTAGGAAAATCCTGTGGTATTAAATTTGCGATAATTCATATTTAATATGAATATTGTAATTATTTTCTGTGACGTTACATTTATTCTTTATGAAAGTAAGATTATACGGGAAATTTATATATTCAATTCTGCTTAAATTTGTTAAATTATGATAATGTTAATAAACGCTAAATTAATTCATTATTCATTCAATTTATTAAAAAAATATACAAAGCTGAGAAGAATGGGTCTGAATATTTAAATTAAATTTGTTGCTATCGATTGTCAGCTTGTTGTCCACTAAATTAATTTTAAGTACGAAGTACAGGCTAGACTTAATATGGTATAAGACTTCGTGTTCTATGTTCTGAAATACTGACTGTGCAATATGTCAGGTTTGGTTATGCCCTTTATGACGTCAAACTATGAATTTAGCAATTATATTCCACGTAATCCTCATAATCGATAAAGTAGGTATAGAAACATTCCTTTACATCGAACTGTAAGAGAAAAACAAATGAATTTGATATATTTAATAATTTTAATAACTTCTAAAAAATGCACAGATAATTTACTACATTATTAATAACAAATTGTCGAAACCATGAACTTAAATTAAAGGTGAAAAAGTTAATAAATTATTGCTTATAACAGTGGGAAAGTAGCTACTAATGAAATCAGCAACGATCGTGAATATTCGTGTATCTTCGGCCAACTAACGTCTATATAAAGACCATGCGAGCACAGGTTCAGTTAATTTGCCAATCTGACGTTGGACCGCGCTGATCAAAAAACTATTTTCTGTTTTCTTCCATTTCTTCATTTACCAATTTACCGTAAAAATTTACCATAATAAAATAATAAACTTTACCATATAATCGTTCTCGTGATAATCACAATCGTTCGAAAGCATTGGTAGTCTACGCAACATAACCCTATAAATTCGACAACTTAACGTTTTGTAAGTCATTCTTACGACTTGTCTTCGAAAGTTTTCCGAGGCATTGTCCATCTGAACATGCGTCGAGTTCGTTGAGACGTCGAACTTGTAGTGCTTTCGATATAAATGCGAGAGTCTGTTGACCCTAGTCGTCCTGTGTAACATCGCGTACACAACTGAAGTATGGGTCTTGTAGTGTGCATGTGCATAACGTGCCTACGTGTAAGCGCGCGGTATATCTGTTTTTAATTCTCAAAAATATAAAATAAGCAGTAGCCAATCACTCTACACATAGAGATGGGTTATAAATTAAAATTAATTAAATTAATTATAAATATGTCGCAGTTATAAGTTAATTTGCCATTATCATCGATAGAATGTAATTTTCTACAATAATTATAACGAGCTGAAATTTTAAAGACATCGATTTTTATTATGGTTAATATATAATATATGATTTTATAACAGATTAAAATTAATATTATTATACATTAAATTAATTATTGTTATATAACGACATACGTATACTGAAACCGTAATCGTCTGTGTAATCATCACCAATAAGGAATAAAAATAAGACCAAAAATCTATTGTAACTATAATTCGAATCGGTGTAGATAAAAAAAAATATACTTGTTTGAAATTAACTTGAAATGAATCATTCTAAAACAATTATTTCTAAAACGGTTTTAATCTCTGCTAATAAACAGATAGGAATAATGTACGCGACACATTAACACGAGCACTATAATGGTATGGTTACGACAAGTATGGTATTAACCTCACTAAATTACACGACAAATAGCATTTAAATTTTCAAGCCTGTTTGATATACCGACATTGACCTCTATTAGAACATTTCCGTTTCGATTTGAAGTATTAATTATAATTTTCATTAATAAAATAAATTTAATTAATATAATTTAATTTAATTTAATTTTAATATATTTCAAATACGTATAGACGCGTTTTAAAAGGTAATGCAATTATAAAGATCGTTATCGGAAGCCTATGCCAAAAGTACAGATATATACAACGCGATGTATATACTCTATATATCCCAAAGTATATACAATTTCAATGTATTACGGAAAAGATTAGAAAATCTACTTCCTTTATTGTAACAAATATACAAATAGATAAAATAGTGGTCAATTTGATTTTTCTTCATCCTTTTCCTTTTCATTTCACGTTACCACGTTGTGTCCCGCGCATTAGCCACGAAGTAAGATGAGTACGCCACGAATTAGTAGAAGGCAAACCACATTCGAAGTTTCATAACAGATATATACCAGCGTCGCGCGCATGCGAGATGTCATTAAAACAACATGCTGCTATTTCGAATAAATGTACGCGACAATGTAAAAACGCGAGAGAGAAAAAAGAAAAAGGAAAGGAAAGAGGCGTGCTCGGCTCGACGGTTTATTTTAACAGCGAGAAAATATTCGACGAAAATTCTTTTCAGCGTTTAAATGCGACCACGCTTATTTAACACGAGGGTTATTAAAGTTGGATGACATTTGCGTTTAAAAGAAATTAAATACTGGTATGATTAAAGTAATGATAATCCACGAATCTTTAACTATTCAAGAATTCGATTAATTATGTAATTCAAAAATTAATTTGAAGTTTCAATTATTATTACTAAATATTGCAAGCATTTCAA